TGCTGTTCCCTGACACCACAGAAACCACCACCAGAGGTAGGTCTGGATTCAGCTCCCAAGGAGCACTGCAATCCAGGTTTAGCCCCTAAGGAGATGAGTCTGACATCCCTGTTTTGAGAGACCAAGAAATAAAAAGACTTGTGCTCTATACAGCTCAGGGATTCACAACCACATAGCTTCTTGCAGGGTCCTCCCTCTCTTACCTGTCTGAGCCATAGAGCTCCCAAGCTTTGGCAATGCCCATTGCAAGTCCTTTGGCTGGATTGTTATACATTAATGTTGAAGCTTCCTTTGTTTTTCCCAAAATATTCAACACATGCCTATGGCAGAAGAGAGAAATAATAATAAATTGGCAAACCCAGTTTACTTTGTTGACCCCAGACTTGTAAGGCATTAATTCTGAGAGTCAGTGGAGACTGAGGACATACAATAGGTTGTCTGTATGGAGCAGACGCACCACTGAGACCTCCTCCTTGGCTAAATAAAGAGCCACTTTGCTGAAGTGTTCCATGTAGCATGTTACAAAGTTGCCCTTACCGATGCACTGCAGTAGTTCTTGAGGTAAGGCCTGCGAAGCTTGCAGCAATGGTATTTATTTCAACTTGCTTCAGTGCTGGAGAGCCTTCTTCACCATGGTCAAACATATAATCTGAACGATTTATTCCTAAAATCAATGACTGCATGAGAAGGAAAATGAAATGCAAAATACAGCAGACTGACATTCTCCCACACTCCTGACCAGCACAGTAAGACTTTTTTTTACCAATAACTACAGGTCACAGACAGATCAGTCAATTTACTGAGGTAAAATGCCAACTGAGATCAAGTTGGGTTCTGTCCACATGAACACAGCAGGTTAGGGCTGTACCATTCATGTCCCTTTTTCATAAGCATCTCATGACAAGAGAATACTGATGTAGCTATGGCATAAAATGAACTTCTGTATGGGAAAGCCACAAAGTGCTACAGCTGACAAAGTGGCACTACACTAGAAGCCATTTCTGGGGTGGGGTTTGAGACTCTCAGGGTATGCCATCATCACCATACTCTACCATACATGGGTAAACTGTTTCCATTAAAAACACCCTATATACTTATATGCCTGATTGCTCAATGGGACTGTGGCAGAGAACCCTGCAGGTAGTTGCACTCCCAATCAGGGGTCACATGGCCATCAGGAGGCCACCTGATTGCAGAAGAGGCCTCAGTTGCTGGCAATAAGAGCAGGCCTGAGCAGGGGAGCCAGCAATTTGCTGCAAACAGCTGGAGTGGGAACACTGCCTGGATGGAGCTGCCGCTCACATAATATCTTGGAGGTACAGGGCAGGAACTATGGGGATGGCAGGAGGTTCCTGGTCCTGGGGCAAAACCTAAAACTACACCCTGCTAGGGATGGATGGTGTGGTGGGGCTGCCTGTGGCAGGGTGGTCCCCAGGAAATGGTACATCAGTTGCCTCCCTAGTGAAAGGTGAGTATGGGGCGCCTTATGGCCTCAGCTCCCACAACCTGGTGGGTAACCCAACAAGGAAGTTGGCAGGACCAAGGGGGTCCAGAGTGGGGCAAAGAGCTCAGAGCAAGTGAGGGGCAAGGAGCCCAGAGTTTGTGGAAAGGAAATGGAGCCTAATGAGGGGTATGGAACCTAGTGAGAAGCAAGGAGTCCAGAGTGTGCATGAGGGGCAAGGTGTCCTAGTATGAGTGAGGAAGTTAGGGGCTGGGATAGGGATAATAATCTGGATGCTATCTGTGAGGCATGGGACACAGTATAGGGAAGGTTGGAGCTGTGTATATTTCCCTAGGCATCAGGGCATAAAATGGGCAGCCTCCTGCATTTTTATACCAGTTATTAATACATCAAGAAACGCCAGGTGAGACAGGGCAGACTGCCCTAGACAGGTGGGTGGGCCGACATTGGTATGGGCCTCATGATGGCTCCATGCCACAGGGACAAATTACTGATTTTTGAAGGTGTATCTGGCTAACACAACGTAATCTGAAGACAAACCATATACATTTACCTAGTGGTCAGAACTAATACAGGCAAGACAGATTTAAAAAAAAGAGAGAGAAGGAGAGGTGGTTGGGAGTAAGGGGAGGCTGTGGTTTTCCTTCAGGTTACCTGGGCTAATCCTTCTTTCAAAACTTGCTTGTGGATTTTAAAAAGTTGCGCTGTGAAGGCATCTACTTGGATGGTGCTAAAGAGAAAAGAAAAGATTATACTGATCACTTTACCTTGTCACAAAGGAGCAACAAAATTAAATCATTATCCAAGAAAATCTGCTGTGTGTTGTAAGCACCAAGATGTGTTTATTCACCAGCCCAATATATGGAGCTCTGGCCAGACTGAGCTCTTAAGCACTGGTAAAAGCCCTAAATGCGAAGCCTTATGTCCAAGGTTTACAGGTGTTTGTGCCTGAAAGCCTTTGCCTGAAAACTTTTCCCCAGATATTTAGTTAGTCTAATAAAAGATATCACATCTACCCAAATAACCTTGCCTGCGTATGTCCTTAGACCAACACTGCGACAAGCAACAACTCTGCAGCATCCCCCTGTGTACTTGGCAAGAGTTTCAAATGATCAAACCCTTATCATGGAAGCCATTACCAAATTCAAGTTACCAAACTGGCACATCAATGGGTTCACTGGTGTCATGATCAGGGCCTTGCATAGAAACCTGAAACCTTATTAGCAGCTGTAACGGGGGGGATTCTCAGGGCTAGATCTCGAGTTAGCCTGCCCATCTACCTAGGGCAGGCTGCCCTGACTCGCCTGCCACGACTTGAGTGTTATCCTGATGTATTAAGCAGAAGGCTGCCCATTCACTACTTTGATGCCAGGGGGGCACTATCTATGGATACATACCTTTCCTACACTGTGGCCCATGCCTCACAGATGCCATCCCAGGCAGCTAAGCTCACCTGTAACCCTTCTCCCTCTCTAGCTGTGGTCCTCTCTCTGGGACCTGCGGCTCTCCCTTAGGCCCTGGCCCCACCCTTGGGCCAGTCAGAATCCCAAGCCTCTTGCTCCAGGCATCCCTCGCAGTGGGCTCCTCGCCCTTTTGATCCGCCTTGGGTTCTGGCCCCAGCATAGACCAGTTCAGGTATCCAACCAGTCAGGTCTGAGCCGCTTGCTTTCTCTCCCTCACAACTCCACTGGATCAAGTGAGTTTCAAGTCTCTCACAGATCTCCCAGGCCTGGTCTTTCCCCAGCCAGGACTGTGCAGGGGTTGGAGGTTATCAGGCACCCCCTACTCACCTTTCACAAGGGAGGACTGCGGTCCTGGCATTTCCTGGGGCTACTTTTAGGTCATGCGTAGGGCCTGGGGCCTCCTCCATCCCCATAGCCCCAGTCCATATACCTCCAAGTTGTTCCTGGCCCAAGAAGTTCAACAGGGAGATGTTCTTCCCCTGCTGGCTGGTCTCAAATGGCTCCCCCAGCACAGAGAGCTGGGCATATTAAATGGCCACCCTCATCAGACACCTGCCATCTCCCTGGCCTAGCCCTTAAAGTGGCAGGCACCAACAGTGCCCTGCCACAGCAGCTTTTCACATTCCTAATGCATGATACCCAACAGCTATAAAGAAGGAACCCTGGGTTTGGGCATGCAGACACTAATGACAACTGGTAAGTATGTGTTCCTCAAGCTCTGCCTTCCATATACCAAGTGTATAATATCCCACTTTCTGTCACCATCTGATTCTCTTCCATCATCTCTTTCATCCTATTTGTAGCTGACAGAAGGAAGGGTCAATATGCCTCTAGAGGGGTCATATACTGAGAAAATATTTGTTTGTAAGTGACCTCTATTTCCTTTTTATGGCCAGGCTTTGGGGGGATCGACTAGCTAGCAGTGCCCTCCTTCATGAGGTAGGATGAGAAGGCTCTGCAACCTGACCAGGGATCAAGCACTATGCCTCCCTAGGAAACTTCTGCTTTGGGTACAACACTGAAAGAAACAGGTTTCACAGAGGTGTGGAGCAGGCCCTCCACACACCACTGCAGCAGCCATCCCCATAGGGAAAGGAGTTTATGTATACAAATATACCCATGGAGAGCACTCTGCAATTCAGGTAGCTCAAACATTTGTTCCTTCACCCTCCCCCACAAAAAGCCACAGATTGATTTTTGAACAGCTTGGGAAAATCTGAGCAGCAAACAGCTCCTTTAAGATCCCATAGCTGTAACCTTACCTCCTCAGGATTACTAGATCTTCAGGGGTAGAAACAAAATGAAGTGAAAGCCAGATACAATTTAGGGCAAGGCCTATACACCTTTTCTTTGAGTACTGAATCATAGAGGTTAGTAATCAGAATCTGAAACTGCAAGAACCTCCTCTTCAAGGTAATGGCTGTAGGAAACAAGACCTTTAATAAACTGCAGCAGAGAGAGCAAGGTCCCAAGGCCTTAAAGAGTCCTTCTAGCAACCTAGTTAACAGTGAATGTAAAGCCCAAGGATTAACAAGCTGCCAGGTAGTAGGCTGCAAGTCCACAAGACAAGCTAAAATGGAAAATATACTGAGGCAATGATGACAGCTCCCAAACATCACTTTTCTTGTCTAGGTTTCTAATCTGCTGGTAAGGAAAAGCCAAAAACATTAAAGCGTTTTGATGACATAGCTAAAAATCTGATAAGTTTAAATAAGAATTTTAAAATGTATAGTGCACCTAACTGTATAATCCACTTATGAAATACTAGCAACTGTCATTAAAATAACATGCTAGAGAAAGGGAAAGGCTGCCAGACTGATCACAGAAGCAACACACAGTGTGGGTGTGTCTACATAGCACAACACAGAGCCAGTCAAAGAAACCGCAGCCCTCTGTCAAAACTCTCTTAGCTACACTGCTTCCAAATCTGAAACTGATGCAGATACACCTGGTTCAGCTACCTTTGCACAAGGCTGTCCTACCTGAACAGGCATATCCAGAATCAGCAGTGTAGGAAGTAAGGTATTCACATTGTCTGTTCAGAACGTGCAGGGCTGGAGGAACATATATGGTTTGGCGTAATGAAATGACAAGTGGCAACAATTTGAAAAATATGTGCTAAGTTAGGTAAGCCTTACATGTTAAGCGTTTAGTTAAAATACACCATGCAATAAATACCTAGCAAGAGTGTGTTCCAGGAATTCTGCATTCTGGCTAATAGCATCCACAAGCAGATTAAAATCTTGTTGAACAGCATAGGCTTGCTCAAAGAGAGTGCTTGGTACTGGAGATGGGAGCAATGTGAAGGGAGCAAAGTTCACAACCTGGGATAAAGATAAAATGGACAAGTCACCCTCATATTCCTCTCTCCAAAGCAGCAGGGCTGATGCCTGATTTGGTTCCAATTTAAAACTGGCATGCTCTAGATCAGGGGTTCTCAACCTTTTTTAATAGATGTACCCCTGGTGGCTGCGGGGGGTTTGCATATGGCCGGACGTGAAGCAGGGGGAGGGGGTGGCGCGTGGCTGGACGTGGAGTGGCGCCAGCACAGGGTGGTAGGGGGCAGGGGTGGCTGCCACATGCGAGCCCCCAACTGTGGCCAGCCAACCAGCTGGGTGGGCACTGCCTGTGCAGCCTGCAGAGGGGAGCTGCTGCACTCGCCCCCCCCCCCCACACTTCCGGCCCTGCTCCTGGGAGGTGGTGGTGCAGGGCGGTGGGTGGGGGTGCACCACCCCCACCCGTGCATACCCCCTAGGGCCTTCCTAGGTACCCCCACAGGTAGGCCCTGGTTGACAACCTCTGCTCTAGATGAGATCCTTAAATCTATACAGTCTAAGAATAAAACCTTCCTGCAGATTTCACTCTGTATACCTCTAGGCCTAAAGTTCTACAGTGTGACTGTGAAATTTAATGAATTTTGAGTGCTTGACTTTGACATCTCCGTAAGCACATAAAGTTTGGAATAGCAACTCCATAGTTAAGGCTTCATTGAATTTCTCATTTAGAAGGAGAAAAATCCCAGTTTCTACTTGAACAGTGGAGCAGTTCCAGGCATTCAGTTCTAAAATTAGCACTCACTGCCTCTCTTAACACAACCTTTTTTTCTTTTAAACACTGTCAGTCCAGATCTCACATGCCTCTAAACTAACACGATTAGAACTGAGGCCACCTCAAAAACAAATACCATCTTTACGCAAATCTAAGATGAATTTAAGACAGGCCTCCAATAATTAAGCTCCATACATGGGAAATGTATAAATGTTATAATTTTCCATGCATAGAATCCAATTATTGGAGGGTAATCATTAATTCATCCCCCCACTTTTGCAGGGGAGGTCAAGCAGCTTGCCCCTGCTTGTGCTTGCCCCCACCCCCTGCAACCTCAGGTCTTCCCTTCCCCTGCTCCCCAATTACTCTTGCTCCATGGAGGCAGGCTCCATCCCTGTTTGAGCCTGGGGCACTGAACACACCTCAAGCCTACCTCCGTAGCAGCCATTCAGACTGCTACAGTGTCAGATGGGGCTGTGCTCAGTGTCCCAGGCTGCATGTGGATGGAACCTGCCAGTGCAGAGCAAAAATAAGAGTAAAGTGGGAGAGGGACAGGCAGGGAACAGAGACTGCTTGTAGGGTGGGAAGGGAAATAGTGGTGGGGGAAAGAGGTTGTGGGAGGGAGATGGCAAGATGCAGAGGCGGGAGCAAGGGAGAGGGGAGGGGAAGCAGTGGTTGCAGCCATGGCCCCAACCTCAGGCAGAGCCTGAGCCACAGCAGCTGTGCTGCCT